CCATTTTCCGTACGTATATCCGCCATAAAAAACGACAGTCCGAACTAAAAGATGAGCTAATGTACTACTACTACTACTACGACTACGACTACGACTACGACTACGACTACGACTACGACTACTGCTACTGCTACTGCTACTGCTACTGCTACTGCTACTGCTACTGCTACTGCTACTGCTACTGCTACTGCTCCTGCTACTACTACTAGGACGACGACGACGACGACGACTACTACGACTACGACTACGACTACGACTACGACTTCCTTCCTTCCTTCCATTCGCGGCGAACGTCCAGGGGTCCGCCCAACGTATCGGCGAGCTAAGCTCGGCTGCAGCAGCATTGTCTTTGACAATCCGTATTAAAAGCATCGAAATGCAGCACCGGTCAGTAGACCCAGCATGCTGAACGACCCGAGCCGAGGCTACAGCAGTCTCACTCCGACGAACATAAACATTTGCAATAAATCAAACACAAGATGCAATGAGCAGAATCGGATTATCGATATTCGACTACCCGAGTGGATGCTTGGCTCTGTACACTTCTGTATACACCCTGTTAGCATCAAGAGAAACGATGCAGAGGAAATTCTGCGAAGCACTGTACCATTGCCACCTCAGTCAGCACCATTCGACTATGCCCTCAGAGAGTGCCTCGTCCATGCTTCGAAAGAAAACTGCCACTGGCATTCTGTGGTCAGGCTCAGGCCAGCTCCGACCAATGCCCGCGAACCTCAGCAACCAGGCAATCACCAGCAAAGCCACCAATGAACAAGATATTGCACCAGCCAGTGCCATTGAGTGATGCCACCCGACTTCGTTCTTTGCACCGCCCTTGTGCCAAGTAAGGAAGAATCACCCAAGCAATTGCAGCAGTTACTTAGAACTGCCTTCGATGCAAAAGCCATGGTTGGTTAGAAGCTGTACATCAAGGGGCTTAAGGTTTGCATACTGTCCAATGTGAAAAGACAAAAGCAAAAGTCTGGTACCCGCCCAGGGCATCGTTGCATGCAGCAGCTTCGGCGAGAAAACTGTGGCCTCATTGGTGGAAAACAGATGACCCACTGGACCCTTCGAGGTAAGCGAGGTACACCCTTGCGAGTCCTCAACGAAGAGCTGCCCACCCTGAAACTCAGAACATGGAAGTGCCAGGTTGACAGAGCTGGCCAGGTTGCGTGAATCTCTGTGTAAGGCAGCCTGAGTATTTAAGGACAAGGTGCACGAGGTGAATCTCAGCTCTTCACTCCAAGTTCCAAGAATGCCAGCCAATGCACGGGTAACCCACGGATAATCCAAGGTGTTGTTGACCACCCCAGCCATGTTTCCGAAATTCCATGCCCCAACCGTGAACCGTTTGGAGTCCATGGGGGCACTTGTGGCAGAGGTTGGCTGAGGCTTGGAGTCGTTCTGAGGCCAGCGTTCCCGCGCGTCGGTCGGGAGGTACTCGATGAGTCGACGTAGCTGGGCCCAGGTGGCCTGTCCACTCGAAATCATACCAAAAGCCATGGCCTCCGCCTTGCA